GAGAAAAATAATTAGTGAATCCCTAACTAAAAATAAAATGAAATTTAAAAAAGAATCAACAAGTAAAAATATAGATTAAGCAGCCTACACAAAAAGTACAAACTTCAATGTATTACAACAAAGCGGCTGCATGAAGTGAAACATCTCATTCTGTGAGAAATAAAACAGAATAACAGGATCTTTAAAAAATGGTTGTTCGATTGTTTTATTTTGTTGTTAATTGGGACTTTAAAAAAGTATATCGATAAAGTTTAAATCGTTGAGGAAAATCGGAATTTTAAACTTGTGTCGCGGAACTGTTGTTGAGCTGTTTCATTCGGATGCATTTGACCAGTGCACGCAACATGGAGGACGGTGTGTAAACAGAAGCGATGGACGCGGCTTAAACGTTCATTTTCAAAGAAACTCCGCTGCTCTCTGATCGCATGAAGCCGTGAAGGTGGAGGTCTTCGGGTAAGCAATATAAGGAAATGAATGGAGTCACTTTGGACGCTTTTATTCCCCCCGCCCCCCATTAAATGTGATCAGAAAAGCTCGCAGAGAACAAGAAGAGCCGCAGAATCTGCTCGGACGTTTTCTAATTTACAGTTTTATGAAACATGAAGAGTGAGAGACTGTGTTCCACAGTAAAACTACAGAAGTGGAAGCGGGGAGGTTTTTTATGCTGCTGTAGTTCAGGGGGGACTGCGCCTGTGCGAAACTGTCAGGTGACCTCCCCGTGTGCATCTCCTCTCAGGGTCTGACTGGTCTGAAATCAGCGGGGTAACATGCTTCCTGTCCGGCAGCTCCTGCGGCTCCGGCCTGCGGTTGCTGTCAGCTGTGCCACTGGGCAGAGGATCCATAAACTGGCCTCTGTGCAGAAGGTCACATCACTTACCCCAAAGAAGTTGCATAGCTTGCTGTATCCCTTCAGCGAGCTGGAGGCTTACCTGGACAGGTGCGTAAAACAGGGCTGGTTCTTAGTCATCAGTAGAGGAGATTTTGTGAATGTGAGCTGGCATCATCGGCTGGAGTTGCACTGATAACTGTGAAAGATAACATCA